CCCGCCCCCCCCCCCCCCCCCCATGCCACAGTTCTGAGTATCCAGCCAGCAGGCCATGCTTTCCAAATCTCCGGGTAGGATCACAGGTGAAATGATTGGTCTTATTGCAATTACCTGGAAGTCTGGAAAGCACGACCTGCCATTGGTCTTTGGTGACGGGCGTTGGGAAGCTGCACCGACCTCTAGGTGCGCCCCCTTGTGGCTGCTGCTGGTCTTGACGTGTTGCTTTTTGTCTTCTGCAGGTATTTTGAAAGATCTAGAGAAGCGTATTACAGAGAAATTGTTTCCTCTGACCCTGAATTATTATGATGGAACAGAGGGTAAAGTACATCCCGGTGTATAAGAATGATGAATATTGTGTACTATAGAATGCTGAAATATATATTCCAGGGTCACCGTGCCTCTTTATTAACCTTCTTTGAAGCCACAATGTCTCTTTTTGGTGCTCATTGGTGTCTGTTCTGAGTTTGGGGGGCATCCGAGGCAGAGACTGATGTGATTTCATGGTTTTATGTGCTCTGTACTGCGCTGCACACTATGTTGCCACTATATAAATATAGGATATTTAGCAGTAAGGTGCTGAATCTTTTCAGCACCCTAACACATTACTGGCTGCCAATGCTGACGTCTTCTTGCATTTTCGGGATTCATCAATGGTAGCATCCATATTTTTCTCACTGCAGGGTTCCCGCTTGGGAGATTCACCATCTCTATTTGTCCTGATGACCAATGACACCCAGTCAGGGGGTGATGGCAAATCCAAAATTCTACAGTTGTCACCAGAATGGTACCAGAGGATAAATCTTCCAGGAAGGGGGGGGGGGGGGCACCTGTTCTGGGGACAACTGTCTAAGAGGGGATTCCCACTCACTATGGAGGGATGTGCTCTTGCTTCCTGTTGTGACCCCAGGACAGGAAGTGAAGGGAATTCTCCTCAGTTGGACATAAACGGCAAAAGAGAAACGACAGATATTTTGACCCTTTCCTGCTTTATCTGAAACTATCAAAACAAATTTGGTTTTAGATATACTTCATTTCCTATACAGTTTAATCTTTGGAAACAATTGTTCAAGAAATCCACCTCTGACCCTTCCAGATAATGTCTCAGTGATACTTTCTTTTAGAAAATCTGTTTTGTGCTAAAACGTTACAATTTCCTGCAGATCCCTGCCTCTCCCAGCCGTGCTATAATCACGGGACGTGCGTGGACACGGAACGGGGATACCTGTGCCGCTGCACCGAATTCTTTACCGGATCAAACTGTGAGAAAGGTGAGAGAAGAATTGTCACAACTGTCACTAACTTTACTGAATTCATTCCCGATGTGTCCCAATATACAGCAACAGTATCAATTCACAGAGAAGCTTTTATCATCAAAGAGCCGTCCGTGAATGTCAGTCCAGTGACTTTGTCCTGGCTGAGATGATGAGCTCCTGCTCCCTGCTGATTGGAGAGCTCTGGCTCTTTTTCAACAGGAGGCATGTCATATGTCTGCAGGGAGACCACTGCTTCCTCACAGAGAACAAGAACATAAGTTATAGCTCTGCAATCAGCAAAGCTCATGTTGCCCCTGCCAGTTGAAGACATCTGGCTCTGATTTAGGAAAGGGGCATGGTGGGCCTCTGAAGAGAGGCCACTGCTTCCTCACACAAAACAAAAACACAGAGTCAGGGTCAGGCAGCAATCAAGAATGGTCAAGAACAAATCCGGGTCAGAAGTCAGGTAATACAAGGCAAGGAATCACAGGAACACAGGGGAGCTGAAAGACAATCAAGCAATTTGGAGACAGGAAAGCCAGGTTTAAATAGTGTGATCCATTAGCACATTGTGTCACTTCCTGGCGTGCTTTTCTGCAGCTGTTCCGTGGCGCGCGCATTTGTAGCAAGTGCCTGTTTACCAGTGGTATGGAAAACGGGACCCCGTTTTTGATCTCTGACAGGGAATGTCGCCTTTCAATATCTTGATGTTGGGATTTACAAAGAAGAGAAATGATCTGGTTGTTGCCGTGTTGAAATTAATTCTTATTTATGTCTGATGGCAGCCATTCGGCCGTGTAAAAATACCACATGTCTCAATGGCGAGTGCGTCCTAAAGAAGTTGGTTCCTTACTACAAGTGTCGATGCCATTACCCCTACCACGGACTGTCCTGTAACTTAGGTAAGACTTCTTTATGGCTTCTGAAATTGTAGATCTCTGTGGTCTCATATAAAGTACAGTACATAGTGCTGGGATAAGGTCCTCCGGCACCCAAAGCAAAGATCCCAAATACAACCACCCCACCCCCTCCTAACTGAGATGGATAGAGCTGGCAGATTTCCACATATGATGGCTAAACTGGGATAGAACAGAAATTATATGTCCACCTGCCCTAGAATTACCACCAGGGTCGGATTTCCTACAAGGCCAACCAAGACCCGGCCTCGGGGCAGCAGGGAGTAGAGGGGCAGCAGGGGTATGGAATTCCTAACTCCCGATACCCAGGACATGCAGTTCCGGGCGCCGGGCGGGTAGTTGTTTTCTACATTTAGCCCGGCTTTGGGCAAGCAGAACTAAATGTACAGCGGGGAAGCCGCCGCTTGTTCTGTACAAGTGATCCCGGCGATGTCGCAGAGATCACTTGTATGCAGCCTGTATACAGGGGGGCACATTGAGGAACCTGGCGTTGGGGCAGCAGAGAGAGTAAATCTGGCCCTGGTTACCACCATTAGGTCCAAGGACAACCATACAGTATGGGGGAGGTGTTGCAATATGCCTAATCATCATGATTTAGGAAAAAAATGTTTTTATTGATAGAGTAGGGAAGGGTTAGGTTCACGCTCTCTATTAGTCCTGGTGGCCAAAATGTTACATTTGTCTTCAGAACAGGAACTGATTAGAAATATCCTAGGTGGGACACTTGTTCCAATGACAACTGTATAAGTCTGAGACCTTTCCTTTCAATTTGTGGAAATTGCGGTCATTCCTGTGAGTCTCTCTTACTCATGTCATTGCTCCTTTTCTTTTTTTTTTGTTTCAGTTGAAGAAGTCTGCAAGCAGAACCCGTGTAAGAATGGAGGAACCTGTGTGGTGAAGGAGCAAAACAAGTTTGCCTGTGTTTGTACCAAGAATTACAGAGGGAGGTTTTGTGAAATAGGTGTGTGGGTAATTATAGACATTACCTGTATACATTTTTTTTATTTTTCAGGCTAACTCCCCAGATAGCGAGGATAGCTTGCTACAAACTTGTGGCGGGGTGAAATTGTAATTTTGTTAACTTGCTGCACATATTCCTGTCAGGTTGTAGACTTGCAGAACACTCGCAGGAACAAGTTCTAGGTGACACTTTGCTCGGCAAGTCTACAGCAAGAGTCCTGCAGGTCTTTGCAAGAGCTCTGCAAGCTCGCTGGTCTGGAGACTTGCAATGCAGACTTGCTGTAATTGTGCAACAAAATTATGAAGCTCGGCAAGTCTGCAATAGTTTAGCGAGTCATTTTCAAACTTGCAGCTCAATTGTTTCTATCTGGGTCCCTCTTTCTAATCAATATAAATAGATTACGAGGTTCTGCAGATTCCAAGATTAAGCTGGTCATGGACATGGAAAGGTCATCACCCGATCTCCATATCCATTGGTAGACCATTTCTTATCTGTAACTTCGGCAGACACCCCCTAGCTGACTGATCTTAGTGTGTGGAGGGGGAAAAGGAGGAAAACCTTATCCAACCTCTACTGTTTTCTCCATGATAACATGATGGTGGTCATGTGTCTCCTCCCATGCTCTGTTGCATATACCTGCCACTAAGTTGGCCATATCAATGTTTGTGTAAAACCTGGACAAAAAGACCACTTTTTGACAATTGAATTGTATCTTCGTATCCAAGTGTAAATGTATACAACCATCAAATTTAGAATAGATTAGATGGCAGCCAAAATGTTGGTCACTGATGCAGTTGCTGGTCTTATCCTAATGCTGGTCTTGTCTTGTTGCTGGTCTTGTCTTGTTGCTGGTCTTGTCTTGTTGCTGGTCTTGTCTTGTTGCTGGTGTTGTCTTGTTGCTGGTCTTGTCTTGTTGCTGGTCTTGTCTTGTTGCTGGTCTTATCCTGTTGCTGGTCTTATACTGTCGCTGGTCTTGTCTTGTCTTGTTGCTGGTCTTGTCTTGTTGCTGGTCTTGTCTTGTTGCTGGTCTTGTCTTGTTGCTGGTCTTGTCCTGTTGCTGGTCTTGTCTTGTTGCTGGTCTTGTCTTGTTGCTGGTCTTGTCTTGTTGCTGGTCTTGTCTTGTTGCTGGTCTTGTCTTGTTGCTGGTCTTGTCTTGTTGCTGGTCTTGTCTTGTTGCTGGTCTTGTCTTGTTGCTGGTCTTGTCTTGTTGCTGGTCTTGTCTTGTTGCTGGTCTTGTCTTGTTGCTGGTCTTGTCTTGTTGCTGGTCTTGTCTTGTTGCTGGTCTTGTCTTGTTGCTGGTCTTGTCTTGTTGCTGGTCTTGTCTTGTTGCTGGTCTTGTCTTGTTGCTGGTCTTGTCTTGTTGCTGGTCTTGTCTTGTTGCTGGTCTTGTCTTGTTGCTGGTCTTGTCTTGTTGCTGGTCTTGTCTTGTTGCTGGTCTTGTCTTGTTGCTGGTCTTGTCTTGTTGCTGGTCTTGTCTTGTTGCTGGTCTTGTCTTGTTGCTGGTCTTGTCTTGTTGCTGGTCTTGTCTTGTTGCTGGTCTTGTCTTGTTGCTGGTCTTGTCTTGTTGCTGGTCTTGTCTTGTTGCTGGTCTTGTCTTGTTGCTGGTCTTGTCTTGTTGCTGGTCTTGTCTTGTTGCTGGTCTTGTCTTGTTGCTGGTCTTGTCTTGTTGCTGGTCTTGTCTTGTTGCTGGTCTTGTCTTGTTGCTGGTCTTGTCTTGTTGCTGGTCTTGTCTTGTTGCTGGTCTTGTCTTGTTGCTGGTCTTGTCTTGTTGCTGGTCTTGTCTTGTTGCTGGTCTTGTCTTGTTGCTGGTCTTGTCTTGTTGCTGGTCTTGTCTTGTTGCTGGTCTTGTCTTGTTGCTGGTCTTGTCTTGTTGCTGGTCTTATCTTGTTGCTGATTTTATCTTGTTGAAAAGTATAGTGATTGCCCAAGAAAAGCCATCAGAGATAACTGACTCTTGTCTGTGATAGATTATCTGAGAGTGTCTGGAGGTATTCAGAATTAGAGGAGAGTTGGTCAGTGGTGGTTTAGGAACAATTGATGTTCAGGGTTAAAACAGACCAGGTGTGTCTAAAGGAAATGTGATCAGAACTGAATAGGATTACAAATATTTGATGTCTAAAGTTGGATTTAGCATGATATATGGCCAGGATTAGAATAGAATGGGCTTGTCTAATGGTTAGACATGGGTTCTGGGTGATTTGTGGTTAGAATTATCACCAAACTGGCGGACTGAGGAAGCTTATTTTTTTTTTTTGCTGGTGTGCATGATCCTACCAGGGACTTCTTCAGCCCTCTTCTGATCCTGCTCAGGAAGCCAAGTCTTGGTTTTCAGCTGAACATCATAACTGTTCTCTGCTATGTGTATTATGCATATACTGTAATATATTCTTATAGAGAATTCCCCTAGTGTAATCTCTAGAGAAGTAAATAGAAAATACCCCCTTGAAATGGCAACCAGGACATTCAACTCGTGCTGGTGTCCTATCTGCACCAGGTGAAGGCTGAGGATCTCCCCACTAAGGTCAGAGACAGCACTAAATCATGTGGAGGGATGGAACGCTCCTTAATTCTATCCGATACTAAAGAAAAACATGTAGACAGAGTTTTACTTGAATGGTCAAAATGATATTAGATCTGCCTGTTATTTTAGAAGTATGTGTTGTACTTATTTTACTGTATGTTTGACGCAACATATCAAAATGTTCTCCAGAGTCAAATGGCTGCTACAGAAGCAATGGATTTCGATACCGTGGCTTTGTCAGCCGCACGGAGAGTGGATACAACTGCCTCCCCTGGGACTCTTACCATTTGAGTACCGAGCATGTCAATGCCTTCACTCCAGACATCTGGCAGGACGGAATTGGGGAGCACAACTTCTGCCGGTAGGTTCCCTGACTAATGGTTGACTCCATGCACATCTTCTAACACTCTAGCTTGTACCTCAACTTAGCCTAGTTCTATTGACCAGTCTTCACGTTGTAGCCATCTTGTTCCTGCAGTCCCTTTAGTGAGGTGATCCTGAGGCTTACAACCTGGTAACAACTAGCAGCAAAGTAGCCTGGTGGCCAATAGGCCCATTGGCCCATGCGGGGTGTTTTGGGCAAGACCCAGCTGTCTGTTAGACTGCTCAACGCGGGTGAGCACACATCACCTGCCAGGAGGAATCTCATAACTGGTTCTTTTTTGCACTTTTATACAGCGTTTATGGAAGGGTTTAGGGGGGTCGTGTTAAATAAGTGGACCTCCTCAATGTGCTGTATGTCAGTCCAGGTCACACCTTCTGTCTTATCCACACAGGAATCCGGATGGAGCAGAGAAACCATGGTGCTACTACCTGGGTGAGAAGAAGAAACTGAGATGGGAAGTATGCGAAGTTGCCGCCTGCCCTGGGGGTATGTACAGCTGTTACAGCTCGCTCCCTGATTGGTTGCTTGGTGTGAGGAACGCCTACTCTGTTCAATGAAATATCTACAGCCAACACGTACTTGTGTTTGGTTTTGGATGGAGTGGGGAAGGTTCATACCTAGGTTAGGTTTTTTCTGTTGTGTGATCAGAAATTGATGCGCAATTCAAACAGACGTAGGAGAGGAAATCATCCAATGGGGCACCTCCTGTTCTTGTGATCTCTCCTCAGCGGGCAATGTCTGCCAGTGCCCCATAGTCATTATTTTGCCTCCCAAATAAATGTAAGAGACTGTCATTCAATGTCTTAGGAAGACCCATAGACAACAGATATCACTTGTCAGACCTGTGAGAGATCTCTCATAGAAATAATCTCTCTCTCTCCTCTCTCTCTCCCCC